CAAGATTAATGTTTTTGTCACGTTGCCTTAATGATGGCTGCTTTCCTCGCCACATTATTAAAGCTGTCCGCGCCTGTAAAATACCTCCTTCGTTAAAAAATCTTCGACGAGTCACCAAATCCCAAATTGAATACATTAAGGATCTTATCTCTAAACTTAAAATAGAATCCTTTGGTTATGACAAAATTGTTATGGATTTCAATATTGTATGTCGTATTAAACTTATTAACTTCATTCGCGATGTTCAGTCGAAAACCAGTCACAAATTCATGAAGACATTAACCAAAACACTGGTTAAAGAACAAAACCACGTGGCATTTCCTACCAATCCACGAAAATACATACAGAACTTATCGAATAAAAAACTAAGTCGAATTGAAACTGAAGCACTCTGCCTTGGATTCATATTTCATATCCCAAGAAAATGCAACAGAATAGACACTGAGACCCAGTTTGAATATTTATATCAACAATTGTCAGACCTTAAACCCATGAACGACGAAAAGCATAGTTGGTTTAAATCTAAATTCGTGGATATCACAAACCAGTATGTTACGACACCAATCCCACACTCAAGGGTGTTCACCGAAGATCACCATCAAGCATTGGAAAAACTTATTAAAGACGAAACAATAATGCTACTTCGTTCGGATAAGGGTTCCAGTGTAGTCATTCTTAACAGAGATGAATATATCAATAAGGTAATGTCCATTTTAAATAACCACCAGATTTATCATCGACAATACCGAGAAAGACTTAACAGATGCGACAGAGAAACGTGTCTTAAGAAAGTTGAGAGAACTCGTTAAGAAAAATCTAATAGATAATCATACGTATAACGAACTCAAACCAAAAGGGTCACAATTGCCATACTTATATGGGCTACCCAAAACACATAAACCCGACATCCCTATAAGACCAATATTATCGATGGCCAAATCACCCTTTCATAAACTTGCCCGCTGGCTTACTAGATGCTTGCAACCAATCCGCAAAAAACTAGCAGCCTACAGTTTGAAAGACAGCTTTGAATTTGTACAAAAACTTGATAACCTTAATGTCTCTGACAAATTCATGGTTTCATTTGATGTCTCTTCGCTTTTCACAAATATCCTCTTGGAAGAAACGGCAGAGATCATATGTTAATATCCAGAACTCCTGCCTTTACCACCCCAGGAATTTAAACAGCTCCTGTTTTTGTGTACAAAAAACATACAATTTAGATTTAACAATGTTCTGTACCGACAGATTGATGGAATAGCAATGGGCAGCCCTCTGGGCCCAATTCTTGCTGACATATTTATGGGACATCTGGAACAAAAGAAACTTAAGCACGCAATCGAAAGTACCATATTCTACTGCAGATATATGGATGACACGTTCCTTGTCTGCAAAAATCACCAACACTCCATGTACCTACTCAGTCTGTTCAGTAAAGTACACAAAGATATAGAATTTACCATGGAATATGAAGTTGATGATAAATTCCATTTCCTAGATATTGGAATTAGGCGAACATCAGGTGGCACACTACAAAGACACATTCATCGCGAAAATACTTGGGGCGGAGTTTATCTCAATTTTAACAGCTTCTGTCCAATGAGTTATAAAAAGGGTATTGTGCGAAACCTTTTTGACCACGCACGCGAAATCTGCTCAAAAGAATGCCTCAAAGAAGAAATTGCCACAATCACCAAATGCCTACGTGGAAATGCATATCCGGAGAAATTCATCCACAAATATGCTAATACAAACCCTCCGATTAAGTATGATACAGTTGAAAAGAAAACCTGCTTCCTATCCTTGCGCTTAAAGGAGATGAAGTCGCCGGAATTATCAATCACAGAATTAATTCCGCCTTAAAAGTGGCCTACCCGGCAGCCAAACTGACTACGTTATGGAAAACATACTGCTCACTGAAACAAACGGAGATCAACAAATCCTCTCCCCTCAGTTGCTCCAACTGTATTTACCAATTTACATGTACGTGCCGTAGCTCATACATTGGAAGAACTGAGAGAAGAGTACAGGTTCGCATTTCTGAGCATATTCCGAAGGACTTGACGCTGCGAGGAACTAAAGCTTTCAACAGTGCAATAGCTCGGCATCTACTTGACACCGGGCATACCGTCGATATTCTGCACGCGTTTAAAATTATCAATAGACAAAGAAGTACTACCACTCTCCGCTTTGCTGAAGCCATTGCAATTAAGAAACTGAAACCGGATTTATGCATTCAAAAAGAGACTTTAATAAACTTATCACTACCCTGGTAATCTCTTTTGTTTCCGTTTGTTTTTTGTGTTTTGGTTATTTTATTCATTTACTTATTTTAAGATATTTTATACTCCCCTGTTACCTAATTCTTAAACTAAAATTTTATTCACACATTTCCACCACCTGATCCTCTTAAATTATTATTACGTAATCTCCATATCATTATTCAATTCCATTAATCTCTAATTATCACACAATTTATGAACTTCACTAAACTATTACACCACCCAACCATCCAGTTATTTACACTCATTTATGTCAATTGTTTCACACTATCTCCATGTAAAAAATTCTATCACAATTTTGGTTTGTAAGCAGCTGACGAGAAACCTCGCAATAATATGAATTCATACTATTCTGCATCAATGTTTGTTCTTGCTCTATTTAAAATCAATTTATTCTATTCTGAAATGTGTCTTTTAAGCAATGGAGGGCTACCCTTTTACGAATTGGATCTAATAATTCAGCGAACCATCAAGCCAACTTATGGTGAATTTGCCACATATATTTCATGCTTTTAGTTCCCTTTACGAATTTAAGTAAAGCCAGAACGAACATGGATGCAGAATAATATGAATTCATTATGTTACGTGGTTTCTCATCAGCTGCTTACTACCAAATATGTATTAGAATTTTACATTGAGGTAAGATATAGTGTAGAACAATTGGCATAAGTGAATGGGAATGACAAAGTTTATCAGTAATAACTATATATATATATATATATATATATATATATATATATATATATATATATATATATATATATATACAGGTCAGAGGTTATTTGGTGTTAGAATCAAGAAAAAATTAGGGATGGGTGACGTAATAATTGAGTGAAGTTCAGAGACAGATAAGATAAATTGTGTGACAAATTTTAGAAGTAATGAATGGTTTACATAAGATTCAAGGAATTAAAAAACTAGCAAGATGTGTTACGTAATAATTGAACGGGATTTGAAGAGTTTACATAATTTAAGAGAATCGAGTGAGTGGAAATGTATGGGTGGAGGGATGGTTTAAGAATTCGGTAATGAAAGAGAAATATAAAAAACTAAACATTAACAATAAAACTAATGACTAAAAATTGAATTACCAGTGTAGTAATAGGTTTATTACTCTCTTTCTGAATACATAGATCAGGTTTGAGTATTTTTATCGCCATTGCTTCGGCAAAACGGAGAAAAGCAGTACTTTTTTGTCTGCTAATAATTTTAAAAGCTTGAGGAATGTCAATGTTATGCCCAGTGTCAAGTAAATGCCAAACTATTGCACTGTTAAGAGCCCTTGTCCCTCGTAGTCTCAATTTCTTTGGAACATGATCGGAAATGTGAACATATACTCTTCTCTCGGTTCTTCCAATGTATGTTCTTTGGCACGTACATGTAAATCAGTAAATGCAGTTGGAGCTACTGAGAAAAGAGGACCTGTCGATTTTAGTTTGTTTGAGAGAGCAGTTCATTTCCCATAGTGTCGTCAGCTTTTCCGCTGAGTAAGTCACCTTCAACGCGGAATTTATCCTGTGATTAATTATTTCAGTGATTTCATCTCCTTTGAAGCGTAAGTATAAGAAGCAGGTTTTCTCTTCCACTCTATCGTACATAACCCGAGGGTTGGCTTTGGCATATTTCCGGATGAACTTCGGTGAATATGCATTCTCACGTAGGCAATTTGTAATGAAAACAACTTCATCTTCCAGGTATTCCTTTGAGCTACTTTGAAACATAGAGACACTTATTCAACATGTCGAAAAATTAGTTCAGAACATACTTTCGAAGATCTTAGGTTAAGGCATTAGAACCAAAGTTATAATACTATAAAGTTTATTTTCAAAAATTTGTAAAGATAGCTTTATGAAAGGCAAATATCCAAGTGTTGATTAATCTGAGAGAGTAAAACAGTACAAGAGCAGTTAGGGCATGATACTTCTGATAAATCAATTGTTTCAATTGCATTTGGTTTCGATTCAGTCAGTGCCACGTCTTGACATAACGAGTGACCGTTTCCGAGGATATGACCTTTATCATCGCTAGGCCAAACATGGACTGATGAATAACTGCTTCCACCATTGTTCGGGTGACTAGCAAATTTTGTAAAGGTATTTTCTTTTTCATCATTAATGGTGACAAAGTTTCGAATATCGCCACTCCTAATTTGTTTTTCTGAAAAAAAAAAGTGAGGAAAATCCTGACTTGTTGTGCAAGTCTAAGCAAATTGCAGTTACAAATAACTTACAGTTGTCGAGATTTCATTTTGCACTAAAAGACTTTGAGATTACAACCTGCTTAGCCGACCAAGGGACAGAAAATTTAAGTGAATGAGTTACTATGTTATGATTGGGATTTGGGATTCTGGCATTTTAGTTGTCAATACGTGATGAAAACTCAAACACTAACTCCTCATTCTGAATCCTAACAATAGTTCCTAATTCTACTTTGATAAATGTGATATGAATTTGAAGCGATTTTCACTTTCACCATTAGCTCAAGGGTATATTCCGACTTTATTATGACTATTTTTAACCATATACATAAATCACAATTTTTCGTAAAGAAATATATCCTCCTCTTTCGATCACATGACTGCATCATTGTTTCATGGCACAAGTCCATGAAGTCACTGACAAGTGGACTGAGTCATGTCGGTAGGTGTAGACTACCTGGTTGGGGACCTCGAGATGATAGCAACCGATGGTTAGAGACCCTGAATGACATGGCTCAAAATCGTTTGCAATGGCGCAGGTGCATCCACTCTTTGTGTCCTCCCAAATTCTAATCTTCTGAATTCTTCATGTCCCTTTTTTCCTCTTTCCAAATTTGTTTCACTGGATTATACTATTTAAATAACATCTCCAAACCCTAATCTTCCGATTACTGCTTATACTCTTGCTACCTGTACCACTACGGGATTTGAATCGACCACTGCATCTCTGTGCTAATGTGGTGTGGCAACTCGAACTGATGTACGTACATACGAAGTTCTACGTTGTTACTGACTGACTGATCATTGTTTACTCAATCCGTAAACGTTTGGAAATAAGATATTTCCCTGAAATGTGATGAATGTCCGTAAGTACAGTAGATCGGTTAAATTTGTAACACGAGAAAACGAATTAAACCTACAAAAACAGGTCGATTTCTTAAAGATAGAGTGTTATATATATAAATGAGTATTCAGTAGTCCAATGCACATTGTCGCTCATTATTGTGTTTTCGATCGAGTAGTCACTTGGGAGGGTCAGCACATAGCACACCGTGTATCAGTATCAGATTTCAGACACCACACGTTACAATAGATTCAACTATAACCCTCCGTATTATTAAGACATTTGTTACGAAAATAACAAAACTGATATAGCATAATCTTGAGAAAATGGATATCACAAAATACATTCATTGGATTTGTTGGAATCAATCAAGAATTTGAAGGTTCACTTGAGGATAAACAAATGGACTAACTAATGAGAAACAGTTTGTACTACAATTTATGGCTAGATCTCTGCGCCGTTATTATTTGAGGATTAATTTATATATTTAATTCACTATCATGGTGGTCAAACATTAGGTTAGGTAGTTCAGTTATCCTCTAGCATAATACTGTGAAGAACGATATATACTTTTTTTATTTTAAGAGTCCTGAGACGGTCTGACAACAAACAAAACAGTATTTCCATGTTTATACGGTACTTCGTAGACAAGCACAGGTCCCTCCACTCAAATTTCAGTCGGATTTTTGTGTGAAGTTTATTTATACCACCAAGCTACAAAAACCTAAATAAACAAACCAAAGATAAAATGTAAAACCCATCAACTGAAAGAAGGGTCCTCTGACTATTAACCCACAATTTCTCATTTTTGGTTGGTTATTTGTTAAATATAGCAAACGCACAATGTATTAGTAGAATACTTTTTGTATAAATTACGGTTCTATTTGCCCACGGCATAATACGGCCAGCTGTTTGGAATTTGATGATTATTTGTGGAGACCTCTCGTTCAACTAATCACCAGGAAATAGAGAGTAGTTAAAAGCTTGACATTCAACTGCCCTGTTACAATATAGTAAACAAACACAAAAAACTCATAGAATACAATGGAACTTAAAATTACTTGATGTAGATTGGTCTTTTGAACTGGATTCAAATGAAGTTTTTCGTCTAGATGGAACTTTCTTCACTGGTTCCTTGATTTTTACAAATTTACCTAATTGCAACAAAACAGTATCAATAACAAAAATGCAGAACACTAGGATATTTTTCTAATTTGAGTGGTTTATTAAAAGATATACTAATTAAAGTCAATCAATAAATATAAATTTTTAACACACTATTAAAACAATTTATTCATGCAAGGGATCCTTCTCGAGGAACTTATTTTCACAGCTAAACAGTCGTATACACAAATGGTAAATAATAGGTCAACGATTAATTATGTCCACTAAAATTTGACTGGTTGTTAAATGAAATTTGACCACATAGTTTTTAAGAAGCAAACGGCTATTTAGTAGGGAATTTACGAAACACAAGATAAATAATCAATGGGGTTAAAAATATTGCTATAAGTATGATGATGTAGAAATGGGAATTTGTTAATGACAATCAACAAATCTAGACAGAAACAACCGTCCTAATAATAAAAATAATAATATTAATTTTAATTATTATTATTATTATAAAAAAGAACAAATCAAAGTCTTTTTTAAAATTCGCCTTATCATGAGAAAGAGAAATACAGAAAAAGTTGATCACGATCCACAATTTAATGGAAAACTATTCATCAACTTGAAAATTTCGAAGATAATCGTTGTCGAATAAAATTTACCAAATCACGAGAAAAATGTTATCAGTCAGTCATAATCAGTGTAGGGCATAACATATATGTAGATTATCTCAAGTTTTCATACTATGTCAGCAGGAGATCATCAACCATAGGTTTTACGTTGAAATAATGGTTAGACTTGCTAATCGTGGTGACACAATCGAGCTACACAGGATGGAACACTCATTTCTTCAGGTACTACTATGTTAGGTTCAAGGACGAAGTCACACTTCTAATTGCACAGGAGTGTGACAGCAGTAAGGTGTTCCCCTCAAACACCCGACATATATAGAATAATGCTGGCTTCTCATGGAGGAAGAGGTTGACTCTGACAACGGCACAACTTACATTGGCTCCATGGATTCCAGTTATTTGTGGCAAGGTTTGAAGATTACAAATCTAATACATTAAAAACCATCCACGAAAAGGCTGTATGTGACAGGTTTTCAACAAATATTCCTTGAGCTCTGCGGTGACGCTCCCGGACCGTCGGAACTACACTTGACCCGACTTTCTTTCAAAGCCTCTCAAGGAGAACTATTCTTTTATGTTGTGAGTAACTGAGAAGTGAAGAGAGCTTTCATACCATCCCAAATCATCTTGAAATTTTCTCTATTTTGTTTTAATGAAAATTCATTGCAATATTACAACATTATTTATTGGTTATTTTATTGGCAAAAACAGTGACATCGGTTAATTTACGTCAAGATAAATACTATTCTATTATGACCCAACATCAACTTTACACAGTTTTGCATAATAGATCATGGGCTGAATCTGCCACAGGCAAAAACTGAAATTTGTTACTCGGATCAGGAAAGGTAAGGTATGTTATGGAAATAAAAATTACATTGGAGGTTATTTTTACAAACGTTATAAACTGTAAAGACATTTCGTAACGTCCTGCCAGATGTTATGTAACGACCTCATAAAGTGGCCATTACGAACATCGGTTTGTGAATGTTCTACTTGTTAAGCAGTAGGGAGTATTATTCGAGGGGAACTAGGGAGAAAATGACCAAGTTGTGTTGAAAAGTACTTTTTGTTTATACCTGCTCTAGAAGTGGAAGATGACTAAAGGGTAAAGAAACATTACTAAAAGGTAATGCTGAGTCTTGCGGTGACACTAGCTAAAACAACAGAGGTGAGTGAATATTTTTTACAACACTATATATCTACCTGAAAATATCAGCAGATTAAAAACCAATGAGTCCTGGTATTCACTTCCGTTGAGTTACAACCAAGCTGTATTACTGCTACTCCAAAGCAACAAACGAATTTTTAAGATATAGTATGTATGAAAAACTTCCGTCAAAACGTGAAATACCAAAGATGTAAACACTAAAGCTTGCATTTTGAAATGTAAAGCAATGCCATGAACAGATAATTATAAACAAAGACTAAATTATACTCCCAGCATTCGCAACACAGCACATAACCATGAGCTTACCTATACATGTAGCTTGATGCTGACCCCACCAAGTATCCTTGGGGCCAGGTACTCTATTCATAGAACGTTTAACATAGCCGAAGTATGGTGGACGGTTGCGACATGGACCGGTACAACGCCACCAGTGAGTGCGATATGTATCAACTTCATCATGAAATGCATGGTAAACCTGGATATATAACACAACCAAATGTAATCAAACATGTAAACCCCAATAAAGATACTAGCAGACAAAAGTTATAATCTCAAGTTACAAAGTCATCGATCACCAATATGTTGTCTATGGAAAAGTAAACTATTCAAATAAGTCTTAGATGCTATGATGGCCTGCAATTGAATTCGCTTAACTATAAATCACTCAGCTTTTATCACCACTTGAAGACAGAATCATGCAGTGTTCTTTTCTCAACACTAGGTTTCTTGCATTTGCTATTCGAACCACATCTTTTCGATACATTACCGAAACACCCGAGTTTGCATCTTTAAACGTTGAAGCTACTCGTTAGATCACTTGACTTTTAGTCATTCGGTTGCATGTATGTACCTAACATCAACGACTATGATTTGGAAGGATAAGTAGTAACTTTGGGTCAAACAGAGTCACGAAGCTGAGCTCACGAACCGATATATGGTTACTTAATGACACTACTATTCGATATGTTAACTTCTATTATGTATACCTACCGGATTTGGGGCTGCACCTGATATACGAGTTAGTTGGATGTCGTTCTGTTCAACTTGAAGTGCATTATGTGAATTTTGTGATGGTTATTAAGTCTAGTTCAGCAAATAATAAACACCAGTGACCAGATAGTACTATTAACACACCAGTAACTAAATTAATACAAGAAAAATAAGCTAGTCTAGGTAAAGACAACTGGTCGGTCGTACAACTCACACCTAAAATAAACTCGCATTTATTGACTTCTTATGAAAACCGGGGTATATACTTTTGACTTACCAAAGCTAGTTTAACTAGTAAATAAGACCAACTACACTACGCTTAACTACACATTGGAAAAGAAGCCAACGATCTTTGTGTAAGGTAACTAACAGTCAAACGACAACCATTGGTCATAGAAACCGTATTCTCCCATGAATAATTGTACGAGGTCAATGTAAAGAGAAACTTTCAGATCGAACTAATATTATGAAGGCCAACTGAGTACAATAATTCAGCAAAACATTAGTTGAGTAACAAGCCCAAATCAGAAGGCTAGGCTCAAAACCATTTAGTAATGGTGTGTGTCTAATACATTATCCAGCCCATCAAGAGGCAATTTAGAAATATGAAGGCAAGTGTTCAAGTAACTTTAGGATGTAAAACGACTTTTCATATTTTCATATGGATTAGTGATCAAATCGGGAACCTGGCTTACCTGGTCATCCTTAAGCTCGGTGAACAGAGAACCCTCACTAAAGTTAAAATATATTAATTGACTAAATATCACTACTCAAATTTATCAAAGGTTTTAAGCAACGGCAGTGTGGATCAGGTAAGAAAAGTTATGCTACAAACAAGCGAATGATTCCAAGATACCTTCCTGGAATAAAAAAAGAAGTTGACACTGATATATTTTTGTGACCGAAATAAAATTAACCATTAGGCTTATAACGATATGTACAGGAGAATAAATGACACGCTGGCATATTAAAACATTGGTATTACAGTAATATTTACTCCAGCCAACGAGTTGATGCGATGCATGTGCGATATGAAATTTGGTCCATGGTCATCACGATCCTAAAGATTTGGATTAGGAGTGAGATAACAAACTTTGTCCTTCCTTGTTATGAACAAAAATGCATGAATCATTTCATGCTAAGAAAAAAGTAATCACAATGGTTAGATCATACCAACAGAGTCTCCACGAGATCTTTTCGCGGTCTAAATTTTAGTAGGGGTTCACTTAGGCTGATGGAACACATTCCATAAGGTTTGTGAAATTTGCAAACTCCTGCACAAAGAGTCATCCGGGAGCTCCATTTGACTTCTACACATCCGAGAGAATTTCCGAAGAACTGACTGTCGAATGAGGAAAACAGCAATCTGATATCTGGTAGTGGGTCCAATAATTCCCAAACAGGATCAGCAAGGCAACAAAGATCCTCAGCCTTTCCCATAAGTATGATTATAGTGAATAAAAGCGTACCGTTTTTTCGACTAGGTTGTTTTGGTGACCCAAAAAACTAGCAACGTTAGTTTTTCTAGGTGAAGATTCGTCATCAGACCACATAAATATCTCCCAAGTCTCGAAAACTGGTTAGTTCCACCAACAACCTTGAGAACAAGTGTCCCACATTCGATGCCCTTCAGCGGTATGGAGAGCATTTCGAATTGTTGTTCAGTTGGTCATTATTGACAAGGCTTTTTCCTACAGGATAGATTTGCTAGCCAATTTACAACCCTTCCTCTCTATCCGCTGATAACCCTGAATTGGACTACAGGAAGAGTGATGATGCTCTTAAAAAGGTGAGCAATTGGATGAACAATGTGTAACCATTTGAAACACGAAAATCAAAGTTTCTGAAGTCAACCGAGACGAATTAGCTCGCTTTCTAAGAGGTGCTTCTAGTCAATAATCTTCAGACAAGTCTCAGAACAAAGGTGTAGCAAATGAAGATAGGATCTAACTGTATTCAAAGTACTGTAGTGACTCACGTTTATCACGAGAACACGACTGGTTTAATAAAAACAATTATTATTACAACCAACTGTACCAGTGTTTGTTTTAATGTGCTTTTGTTTAACTGTGCTAATTATAGCCATTTTGTGCTTCCATTACCTTCCATCATTGTTCCGCGGTTTTTGGTACTGTTCGCACGTACTCCTGTCTTCTGCTTTCGCTTGTACCTCTTCTTGGCACGATCTCGGTATTCGTTCAATACCACGAGATCGCCAACGAAATAAATCTGGTTACATTCAACTCTCGCCTTCTGATTTATCTGGCACGTGTTTCCTGGTAGCGGTGTTCACAGTTAATCTCAACTCGACGCCACGCTACAATTGGTGAGCCCAAAGTTTGGAACACGCCGCAACCTCGGGTCAAATCTTCCAAAGAAGTCAATTTGGTGAGTCTATTATTTATCTATCCACGTCTGTCGTATATTTTCATATTAATTTTTAATATATAATATACACGACATGACGGATAGCGAGAAGAATACTATTAATGTTATAGACTCAGACGTACAGGCCATTCATTTTCGACCTGTATCATTTATCCCCCACGACCCTGAGGTCTGGTTTGCTGCACTAGAGTCTCAATTCGAGACTCGTCGAATCACGAGCCAAAGGCAAAAATACGCCTTCGCTGTCGAATCGTTACCCGGGGACCATTTAGTAGCTGTTCGTGAGGTCGTCCTCAATTCTAACGTGCCTAATGTTTATGATCGCCTCAAAGAGGCTATTCTCCGACATTTCCTCCCATCGAGGGAGGAACGATTGAGGACACTGTTAGCACGTCACCCCCTGGGTGATGCTAAACCTAGCCACCACCTCACGCGCCTGCAATCTCTTGCAGGACCAACAGCAAGTGACTCAGAAATAGTTAAGGAATTGTGGCTTGAGTCACTGCCAGCGCATATCCAACCCACTGTGACGGCACTGCTCGAGGACTCACCGCTTAATCAGGTAGCCCTCATAGCAGACAAGATTTTGGCGAGGACTAGCAATAGAGACACCTATGTTGTTGCTTCGACGGCACGTCCTAAAGTAGACATGGACGCCGGTCATTCCTCAGCTCATGGTGACAGGGACGGGTGTATTCACACACGTCTTAGTTTTCGAGACCGTTGTAACGTACCCCAACCCTACGTCCCCCGAGCTCGCTCAAGTTCTCGCAAGCCCGTCACCACTCGCCCAAAAAGGGCATCTTCCAGGCCACGCCGAAAGGCGGCTACGGAAGCGAGTGACAGTTGGTGCTGGTTCCACAGGTCCTTCGGGTCTGGCGCCCGCCGTTGTCGAGCACCATGCTCATACAAGGCGGGAAACGCCAGCGCCGGCGAGTAAAAGCGGCCGTACTCGCCGGCCCTTCCCCCCAGGTTGGTCGCCTATTCTATGTGCACGATTATCGCACAAACGCTAGGTTCCTAGTAGACACTGGGGCCCAAGTTTCTGTCGTACCACGAGGTAGCAGCAAGTCACAAGCCACAGTGCTTCGACTACGCGCTGCGAATGGCTCAGTCATTCCTACCTACGGTACACGACAACTCGCGGTCAACCTGGGCAACCGACGACGGTATCTGTGGACGTTCATCATTGCTGATGTTCCCACAGCCATACTAGGTATCGATTTTCTACAGCACTATGAATTGCTTGTCGATTCACGTAGGCTGCAGCTAATCGATACTTCGTCGAACAGCAAATTCATGGGCTGTAAAGCCCACATGAACGCGTACCGAATCCTCGGCACTTTTTACTCGCGTGACGATAAATTCCACGCTTTATTCGAGAAATTCCCCGTACTCACTAAACCACTCGAGGAGCTTCCATCGGTGACCAATCGTGTGGTACACCACATAGTCACCCGCGGACCGCCAGTCACGGCACGACCTCGCCGACTGGCACCGGACAAATTAGCTTTTGCTAAGCGTGAGTTTGACAATTTACTAGCTACTGGTATTATTCGTCCTTCTCACAGTCCATGGGCCTCTCCTCTACACATGGTGCGCAAAAAAGATGGGGTTAGTTGGAGACCATGCGGCGACTACCGAGCTCTAAACGTAGTTACGCGCTTTGATAGCTACCCCATCCCCCACATACACGACATCACGGCATCGCTCAAGGGCACGACTATCTTTTCTAAAATCGATCTGGTACGAGCATATCATCAGATCCCAGTCGCTCTTGAAGATATCGAAAAGACCGCTATCACGACTCCTTTCGGTTTGTTTGAGTTCCTACGAATGCCATTTGGATTACGGAATGCTGCTCAAACTTTTCAAAGGTTTATCGATAGCATTGTACGAGACCTCGATTTTGTTCACGTCTATATTGATGACCTGCTAATCGCATCATCAAACGTAGATGAACATTATCAACATCTTACGCTATTATTCCAACGCCTTTCGGATAACGGAATAGTAGTTAACCCAGACAAATGCGAGTTAGGTAAACGAGAAATAATATTTCTGGGTCATGTTATCAAGCAAGAGGGTATTCTACCTTGTGAGGACAAAGTGCAAGCAATAAAGGAGTACAACGTGCCGTCCTCACTCAAGGAACTGAAGGCTTTTCTCGGTTTGGTTAACTTCTACCGTCGCTTCATCCCGCACGCGGCAGAACGGTTACGACCACTAACCGACTTACTACGCGGCAACCCACGCAGATTGGAAATGAACGATTCTGCACGTACTGCATTCACTGAAATCAAAACGGCTCTTGCGCAAGCCACTCTTCTCGCCCATCCCGATCCATCAGCCACGCTTAGTATAGCGGTTGATGCATCCGATGTTGCTATAGGAGCAGTCATGCAACAAAACATCTCCGGTAGTTGGCAACCTCTCGAGTTTTTCTCACGACGCCTCACTACCACGGAGACGAGATATAGCGCTTTTGGTCGCGAGCTGCTAGCAGCCTACTGCGCCATCAAACATTTTCGGCACGCAGTAGAAGGACGTCGATTCATTTTATTCACCGACCATAAGCCCTTAACGTATGCTTTGCATACCAAGTCTGACCGCTACTCACCACGAGAGTGCAGACATTTGGACTATATCTCCCAGTTCACGACCGACCTTCGTCACATCCAAGGCAAGTCGAACTGTGTTGCCGATGCTCTATCACGAATCCAAATGAATGCAGTTACCCTGCCGGTGCTCGATCTTCCTGCTATGGCCGCTGCCCAAGCAAACGATCCCAGCTGTACAGAAGCACCACACTCTACGTCCCTTCAGTATCAGGAAGTACCTCTAGCCACGACTTCTGGCACCATTCTATGTGATACTTCTACCGGTCTTCCTCGACCCATCGTACCCTCTGCTTATCGCCGTCTCGTATTCGATGCCCTGCATGGATTATCTCACCCAGGTATCGCAGCTACATTACGTCTCATCGCTGCACGATACGTCTGGCCGTCCATGAATAAAGATGTTCGTATGTGGGCTAAGCAATGCTTACAATGTCAACGATCAAAAGTGCACAGGCACGTAGCCACCCCCCTCGGTACATTCGCTACGCCTGATGCTCGCTTCGATCACGTTCACTTAGACATTGTAGGACCACTGCCACCATCGCACGGGTATGATCACATACTCACGTGCATCGACCGCTTCACCAGATGGCCCGAAGCTATACCCATCACGTCTATCACGGCGGAGACAGTTGCTCACCGCTTCGTAGAACGATGGATAGCTCTATATGGTTGTCCCTCGACCGTCACGACTGACCGAGGACAACAATTTGAGTCCGCACTATTCTCCTCACTTACTCGGCTGCTTGGTACGGAACGAATACGCACTACCGCCTACCATCCAGCTTCAAACGGTTTAGTTGAAAGGTTTCACCGGCAACTTAAAAGTGCTCTTCGAGCACACGAAAACGACGACTGGTACGAAACCTTACCGCTCGTTCTTTTAGGTATCAGAACGAGTTTAAAGGCAGATATCCAATGTTCCGCCGCTGAACTTGTTTACGGCACGACATTGCGTCTGCCCGGGGAATTCTTCACACCACGGAGCAGACCTGATTTCGCTAAATCAGACTACGTCCAACGACTGTCTGCATTTATGCGAACGCTGCCTCCGGTGTCAACTCGAATACAACATCGACAGGTCGCTCTCCCTCGAGAGTTATCTACCTGTTCACATGTTTTCATACGAGTAGATTCGGTACGCAAACCTTTGCAACAACCTTACGAAGGCCCTTTTCGCGTGATCGCTCGTCACGAAAAGACCTTCAAGGTTGATCGACACGGCCGCGTCGAGATCGTCAGCATTGATCGTCTCAAACCAGCACACGTCGACGACAGTGCCCTATCTGACAACCTGAGATTCAATGCTAGACCTAGCAAACCTACTAGCGGGATCCTCAAATCATCTACAGGTCCCACGCTAGATACATCTGAGACCTCATTCTCACGTCCTGGTCAACAGCACGCGTCATCTGCACCGTCTACGGACGAGACAACAGTCTCACGTCCAGATCAGCAGACCACGCCGCCTCTGACCTCGGATGAGATTGCAGGCTCACGCGACGCGAACGAGACTGCCGTCTCACGTTCCGGTCGCCGAGTACGGTTACCCGTACGCTTCCTCGACTAGTCGCACAGTCGACAACCGATACGGTGTAGGAATATTCCTATGCTACTTGTATGCTACACTCTTCTTTTTTGATTTTCTTTTTGTTTCCCGAGCCCACGCCTTCGACCATCTCCGTTGGTTCCGTCGACTTCAGTCAACTTTGGCGAAAGCTGGCCTGATCACCCATGCTCTTGTCAACGTACTCAGTCGATATACTGGTTTCGAATGCTTGGCATATGCTTGGTCCCGAACATGGTCGTTATGGTCGCTTCTGGTTCATCGGCTCAACGTGGTTTCGTCCTTCGTCTGCAGCGTTTATGGTCCGGACCCGTACGAACGCCCTCTTCAGATTCTGGATA